GGTGATGGTGCAGGTGTGGAGGTGATGATGCAGGTGAGGAGGTGATAGTGGAGGTGGGGAGGTGATGGTGGAGGTGGGGAGGTGATGGTGGAAGGTGAAGAGGTGATGGTGGAGGTGGGGAGGTGGTGATGGAGGTGAAGAGGTGATGGTGGAGTTGGGGAGGTGATGGTGGAGGTTTGGAGGTGATGGTGGAGGTGGGGAGGTGATGGTGGAGGTGGGGAGGTGATGGTGGAAGTGTGAAGGTGATAGTGGAAGTGTAGAGGTGATGGTGGAGGTGGGGAGGTGATGGTGGAGCTGGGGAGGTGATGGTGGAGGTATGGAGGTGGTCTTGGAGGTGCGGAGGTGATATTGGAGGTGTGGAGGTGATGGTGGAGGTGAGGAGGTGATGATGGAGGTGGGAAGGTGATGGTCGAGGTGGGGAGGTGATAGTGGAAGTATGGAGGTGATAGTGGGGGTGTGGAGGTGATGGTGGACGTGGGGAGGTGATGGTGGAAGTATGGAAGTGATATTGGAGATGTGGAGGTGATGGCGGAGTTGGAGAAGTGATAATGAAAGTGAGGAGATGATAGTGGAAGTGTGGGGGCTGATGGTTGAGGTGGGGAAGTGGTGATGGAGGTGATAGTGGAGATGATAGTGGAGGTGCAGAGGTGATATTGGAGGTGTGGAGGTGATAGTGGAGGTGAGGAGGTGATGGTGGAGGTGGGAAGGTGATGATGGAGATGGGGAGGTAATAGTGGAAGTATGGAGGTGACGTTGAAGGTGAGGAGGTGATAGTGGAGATGTGGAGGTGATGGTGGAGGATGGGAGGTGGTGGTGGAGGTGTGGTGATGGTGGAGGTGAGGAGGTGATGGTGAAGGTGAGAAGGTGATGGAGATGGGAGATGACAGTGGAAGTATGGAGGTGATGTTGGAGGTGAGGAGGTGATAGTGGAGGTGTGGAGGTGATGATGGAGGTGGGGAGGTGATAGTGGAAGTGTGGAAGTGATGGTGGAGGTGTGGAGGTGATGGCGGAGTTGGAGAAGTGATAATGGAAGTGAGGAGGTGATAGTGGAGGTGTGGGGGTGATAATGGAGGTGGGGAGGTGATGGTGGAGGTGTGGAGGTGATAGTGGAGGTGCGGAGGTGATATTGGAGGTACAGAGGTGATGGTGGAGGTGAGGAGGTGATGGAAGTGGGAAGGTGATGGTGGAGGTGGGGAGGTGATAGAAGTATGGAGGTGATGATGGAGGTGTGGAGGTGATGGAGTTGGAGAAGTGATGATGGAAGTGAGGAAGTGATAGTGGAGGTGGGGAGGTGATGGTGGAGGTGATGGTGGAGGTGGGTAACTGATGATGGGAGTGAAGAGGTGATGGAGGAGGCGAGGAGGTGATGGTGGAGGTGGGAAGGTGATAGTGGAAGTGTGGAAATGATGGTGGAGGTGTGGAGGTAATGGCGGAGTTGGAGAAGTGATAACGGAAGTGAGAAGGTGATAGTGGAAGTGTGGGGGGTGATAGTGGAAGTATGGAAGTGATGGCGGAAGTGTGGAGGTGATGATGGAGGTGTGGAGGTAATGGTGGAGTTGGAGAAGTGATGATGGAAGTGAGGAGGTGATAGTGGAGGTGTGGGGGATGATGGTGGAGGTGGGGTGATGGTGGAGGTGGGTAACTGATGATGGGAGTGAAGAGGTGATGGAGGAGGCAAGGAGGCGAGGAGGTGATGGTGGAGGTGGGGAGACAGGGGGAGTGTGTACAAAGGGTCTCAGTTGTGAAGGCAGATGTGGTCAGGAGGTTCAGGTGGACAACTGCCTAGCAGGGAAACCGGTCCCACGTGTAGAAGGGCTGTTGGCTTCTTGGGTGATGCATGTTACAGTTATCTTTCCCATTTCTTATTTCAGTATGCTTACACTTCCTCTGTTGACTGGAGAGGGTAAAAATATCTGTCCCTAAAACTGGCTTTGAGCAGTGACATTTTGGGCTTCGAATTTGCCATGTCAGAATAGTAGCTGAGCATTGAGCTAGTTGGTGCCAGGTCTGGGATATGTGTGCTCTTCTGTCTTACTCTATTCATTTCCTGATAGCCCTAGGAGGCAGGGATTGTTCCCATTTTATAGGTGAGGAAGCTAAGCCTTTAGAGTGAACCAACTTGCTTTAGACACTCTGAGGCTTGTTTGTTTTTAAAGATTCTGTTTAAAAGTATTTATTTTATTAAATTGTGGATTCCATTTAAAAATAATTTTCATGCAAGTATAATGTGCTTAGAATGGTTGAGTGTTGCTTATTTGGGATTAATGCTTTACGTAAATATCACTGAGGTAGGAGATGATGTTTGAGGGACCTGAAGCACTTTCCTTTTCTGCTGTTTTTTGCTGGCCCTTCTGGGTGTTGGTGTCAGGCCTCTCTGCCCGTTTGCCATCTGAAGACGCAAAAGGTCCATAGAAACTCTCATTCTTTCTTATGTTGAGCACCACAGACTGGGTCCCTGCAAACCAGCATTCATTGGAAATGAGTTGAGGTTTGTGGGTCCATCAGAGTCAGTCATCGTTGTATGCCAAGCCAGTATGGCTAATTGCTGTCTCGTTGAGAGCTCAGCAGTCACTGTTCTGAGCACACGTGTTCACTGCCCATTGTCATGCTGTTAAGTAAGGACCTGTGTTGTCCTCCTTTTGCAGAGGAGGATGCTGAAGCAGTGTGGGGTGAAGGCCCAAGTGGGTGGAAAGTAGCTGAAGAGCCAGCATTTGAGCCCAACATGACTGCAGAATTTGTGCTCAGCAGCTCTCTGCTAAGTACTTTGTTCTGTTTAATATCATCATGCTTCTGTGAACTGCTGGCATTGTCACCTCCATTTTATAGATGAGGAAATTTAGGTTCAACAAAGTGAAACGTATGTATGACTCCCTGGCCAGTGAGTGGCAGGCTGGGACAGGACCTGGGATTAGCTGACACTAATGTCTGCCTTGACTTTTCTCATTTCTCTCACTGCCTCTTGTTACAAAATAAGGAATGACACACTGACCGAGTCCCCTGATGGGAAGAACAGACCACCAGAATAATCCTGGGAGCACCTCAAGGGGAGCCAGAGCCTCTCCATACTGCAGGAAAGGCATCAAAAGTCAAGAGCCTTTTGACAGCTAGAGCTGGCAGACATCACTGACCCTTTCCCCTGCTCAGCATAGAGTGAACGGATGAAAAATCTCAGCTCTAAGCTTCCCTCTGGGGAGAGAAGGAGTCAGTGTGACCACTGCCCCAACTTTTATGGGGCTGCCCAAAGAACAAGCATCTGTCTCTCCCCTGGATCTCTTGATAGGTCTTGTACAGTCGGGCTACCCAGGAGAGAACAGAGGTGGTAGTTTG